GGGCATAGAGGAGAAACAATAATGCACAGTATGTGGAAAATAATGTGTTTTTTTAACCTTAAACCGCATAAACACATTTCATTACACCAAATACACAAAATAATGTTCTTTTTAGCAACATCATATGACCCCTTTAACTACAGGTTGGTTCGTTTGCAGCCTCTCAAAACACCTGGAGCTCAAGACACATCATTAAAGAAGCGGAGAGCAGATGGAGTCCATTAAAGAGCGATAGTGTTGCATAACCATCTCTGATCAGACAGTCCTTTAACAAAGAGACTTCCATAAAGCCGAGCTTTCCAGCCGTCACCTGGGTGCCACATTTCAGTCCGAGCTCAAAGCATTCGGCATCTGCTGGCGAGCGCATCTGGAGCCCTGCCGACCGCAGGACCCGAACGTGTGACATTTTCCTAGTGACCCTCCTGCTGGACGCTCGTCTGAGAGTTAACGTCAGGACGAGGACAGACCTCTCTCCTGTTTACTTCAGTGCTGTGGAGCAGCTCAGCGGTTTTTAAAAGCTCTTTCAGTTCGTTTAGATTGTTAATCTCAAGCAAACTACCGTATTGTCCCGAATATAAGACAATGTTTTTTTCTTGGAAATACATCTGAAAAAACGCACTTGTCTTATATTCAGGGTCTAGACTTTGACATGTCAATAATATACCCACCACAATAGGTGGTGCCAAATACGCATAAAACGAGTGTGCCATGAAATACGTAATGTAATGCGTGTTGTAAAGATCGCGAGTAAAAACAAAAGAAAAAGAAAACCTTACAGCTGCATGAGTCGTGACTGTCACGTTAGCCTGATGGGACCAAACTCCCTTTGTGATTTTAAAACGTAAGACAGTACCCAGATTTGAAGACTACAGTAAGATTTAACTTCTACTGTTAATAAGATTTTGGTAGGCTACTATTAGATGGATAGCCTAAATGTCCTAATTCAGATGGGCAACCTGTTTTGTTTTTTTAATGGTATATCAAAAAGTGTATATTTTTTAAATGTGACTGTTGGTACATTTTACCAGTTTTTAACATACTTTCAAAACAAAAATTAAAATAGGAAAAATATGCAATATGAAAATAATTGAAGACAAAATGTGTTTTACTGAGAAAAAACAATATTTGGTTTTTAAAAAGCCTTTTTCCAAAAGGTACATCTGGAAAAAGGGGGGTCGTCTTATAATCAGGGTCGTCTTATATTCGGGCCAATATTCGGGCCAATACGGTAGTTCAATAAAAATTTAAGAGAAAGAAATTATTACTTTTATTCAGCAAGGATGCATTAAAGTGACAGTAAAGACATTTATAATGTTAAATTTCTATTAATAATTTCCATAAACATATTAAGTGTTCTCAGCATTGATAATACTCAAAAATATTATGTTAATATATCATACTTAATTTTTTTTATTAAATTACATAATAATTTGTAACAAAAATATGTTTGTTAAAAACTTATATTAAAAATGTAAACAATAATATATGTACTTTTTAACAAATATTTTCCTTGAACCCATTTGTAGCTCTGCAGATTGTTGAAAGTGTAATAAATCAAACTATCCATCTACAGTTACGTTCATCAGGAGAAGCGAGAACGTGGCCTCATTGAATCAAGCATCTGATACAAGTGAAACTAGAGCTGAAGGGCCCCGGGGTCCTTTATAAGGGCACCGAAGCGGCACACCTGTCACTGCTCAAGTAGCAAACGTGCTCGCTAACGACCAAGAGCCTTGATTCAGAGCACTGTGTGAGAGTTCGCTCTGACCTCAGTAGACTCCATGATGAGACTGGTTTATGCTCATTCAGAATAAAACTGTTGGTTCGTATCGACGGTCTGTCTTGTTTCTGTTAGCGAGTGTCGTCTGCGAGTCGGACTCAAGGTCTCCGTTGGCCCTCAGACAAAACATAAGAAATCTCGCGGACAAAGGCCGTGACATTTAAGAGCAACTTGAAGGCCACGAACTCCTTGGAAACACAAAATGTCACATGGCACAAACTCTGCAGGCCCTGATGTAAAGCTCATGAACAGAGCACAGGCCTCAGCTCAACTGTGCTCTTTTAACACAAGCCATCTGATGCTAAAGCGGTTTAAGCAGCCAAGGTTCGGCAGCTTCTCACGTTTTTAGACAATCTAATCAAATAATACCAGCTCATTTCTGTCTTCAATGAAAACCTGATCTGATTATAGGAGCTGCAGGAGTGTTTTGTGTGTTTATAGCGCCACCGGTGGCCACACGCTGTAACTGCACTTTTTGCAAGGTCACTGCACTGCATCAGGTAATATTCCACTGGCTTTGATCGCCCCTCCCTCACTGTGTGTGTGTGTGTGTGTGTGTGTGTGAGAGAGAGAGAGAGAGAGAGGGCGGGGCTTGAGCGAAAGAAGCTCTGGAGCGCCCTCTGCCTGTCACATGACAGAAAAATACATTGTTCATTTAACAAATCAGTGTTATTTTAGTATCACTGATATATATACCATGCTAGTTTTAAGTAATATTTTGGATTAGATTTTATTTTTCTATTTTCCGTTTTCACTTTAATTTTACTTGCGTTTTTAATAATTTTGTTGTGTGTTTTAGTCATTTTTATTATTTATTTATTTTCTTAAATGTCTATATATTTTTTATGTATTGGTTTTTAGTTATTTTAGTACATTAAAAATGATAAATATTTCCTTAGCAACTAGCTGAAATGAATTAAGTTTAGATGTTTTTAGATTTTATTTCAGTTAATTCAAGTAATTTTTTTATGGTTTTAGTATCATTGATATTCTATTATAGTTTGCTGATATTTTGAATTAGATTTTTATTTTTCTATTTTCTGTTTCAACTTTGATTTTAGTTAAGGTTTTAATAATTTTGTTGTGCATTTTTGTCATTTTTATTAGTTTTTCTTTTTTTTAAGTGTCTATATATTTTAATTCTTTAAAATAAAAATAAAAAATGTATTTGTTTTTTAAATTTGTTGTAATTTTTGAGCACTGATTATTATATTTAAAAATAAATAGTACTTCAATTTAAGTTTGGGCTCTGCTGTTAACTGTAACCTTACAGTAATGTAAAAGGGCTCCCTATAGTTTAGAGCAGAATCTGAGGTAGATTTTTATCCCTAAGTAAATTTTAATCACAATTTTAAATACATTTAAAGAAAGACACATTTGTTCAGTAAACCACTGTTTAATAATTCAGTAAACCGTCATGTTTGTGTACCGTTACACCTCTAATGTCTACATAGTTTAATAAATTTTGTATTTATTAGTTTTAGTTATTTTTTAAACAAAAGCATGTTTTTTCAGCAGAGACAGCGGGAGAATGATGCCGATGCATGACAGGCCACAATAAGAGGACACGAATAAATAAAAGAGCATCAAACACACTTCAAAGTGTATCAGAATGAAGGACGGTGAAGCACAACAGGCTCATACGGGTGTGTTTTGTTACTCACAGGGAACAGCACAATGGGAACGGTCAGCGTTACCGCCGTCAGCACAGCCAAACGCACCAGAAGAAGCATCGTGTCAAACTTGTAGACCTTGGTGAAGGTGTGAAGCAGCTCTGCCTCGACATGATCTGAGAGAGACAGAGAGAGAGAGGTTTGGTAACAAGTAACTTCTCGACTGGAATGTGTGCTGCAGGTGTGTATGAGAAGAGTGTAATGTACCATAAAACGTCAGATAACCGAACAGAGCGGAGAGCAGGTACATCACCAGCATCGCCAAGATGGACAGGTTTGAGACCCTCTGCATCTTCCTCCGAGAGCGACTGCAGAACACGAGGAGTCACAACAGAAACAGCTTTATGAAATATATCCGAGCCTCTGGGTATGTGATTATAATGGTATCAGTCAATATCAGCCGTTTTTAATTGTCAACTTCAGACTATTTTCCAGTTTATCAAAAAATACTGTGGTGGTATCAGATTTGATTTGATATGTAATATGACATAATACAAAACGATATAAAAATGTCTAAATATCCAATTGTTTTTGTTACTGGACCTGATGCCATACGAAAAAAAAAATTTATAATAAAATTGTCAATGTGTGTTATATATTTATAAAACATACCGTGGCAGCAGATTCTATTTGAAATATAATATAATATCATGTAACATAACATAACATAACATAACATAACATATAATATAATGTCATGTAACAATGACATTATATTATATATAATAATATAATACATTAACATATAATACATTAACATAACATAACATAACCAAATTTCTAAATCTCAGTGTTTTTGTTACTGGACCTAATGCTATTTAAAATAATAATTAAAAATTACTTAAAACTATTTATAATATAATATAATATAAAGCCACATTTCTAAATCTCAGTGTTTTTGTTACTGGACCTGATGCTATTTAAAAATAATAATAACAATAATAATAAAAAAAGTAATAATAATTTTAAAAAACAACTACTTAAAACTATTTAAATAATATAATATAATATAATAATACAAGCCAATGTTCTAAATTTCCTTCTTTTTTTTTTGTCACTTTTTAGTCTTTAATTTATTGGACAGTATAGATGTGACTATACTGATGCTTTCTTCATTTTTCTTTATTTTTTTGCATATGCACAAAGTTTTCCTCACTCTTTGAGTTCGCTGTAGATGGGCAGAACTTCAGGATGACACACGAAAGCAAAGGCGAGGATGGGAATGGTGTACACGGTCTGAAAGACAAACACAACAAACGCCGTGAGGCTCTTTCCACACGCACACTTTACAGTACGGATCTTCTCGTCTGGCAGGATTAATGACATATTTGTCTCATATCGTCAGCATCGTCACCTGTGAGTTGAACACAAAGTATTTGGGTGTGCACATGTCCTCAGGGTGAGGTGTGAACTGGACGGCGCTGTGCACCGGCGCGTGAGGATCCAGCGGAGGTCCGTTCGCTGCTGATATAGAGGCCAGCGCCGAGGCGTTCTGCAGCGCGTACAGACCCAGAGCGTCCGAGCCGTTCATGCTCATGTTGGACTCGTGCTGGTAGAAGAACGGCAGAGGACAGGGCAGGATCGTCTTCTTATAGATCAGCTGAGAAATCAAACCAGTGCACAACAGTGTCATGAAACCATGCATAAGAAATATTTCAACCGAAAGAGAAAGTCCTGTCAACGTTTACATCAGCCTCGTGTCATTTCAAGCATCAAAAACAGCTAATGTGTCCCTGGAGCACAAAACCAGTCGCTGGGGTATATTTGTAGCAATAGCCAACAATACATTGTAAGGGTCAAAATTATCCATTTTTCTTTTATGCCAAAAATCATTAGGATATTAAGTAAAGATCATG